CACATTCTTTTCATGCTAAAGTTTATGCAGTTTATGTGGAAACTCTAGCACAGACAACTCTAACAGCAAAGAGCATATACTCATTTCACAGGGAAGCTCTTACTTCATTGACGGTGTGAAACCCTTGAGGGGTAGACATTGGAGAAGAACTATCAGTGCCAGAGAACGTCTGCCAAATATACAACAATTACAACATTATATCTGTGCATTCAACTTTAGTTGCTAAGTTTTACAGTAAAGATATCTTTACTGCTTCATTATATATCATATACAATCTTCTGACATCACAGGGCAAACAAAGAGATATTTAACTTACAGTGAGAGATGGAGAAGGGGAAAGAAAAAAAAAACCCAAAGTTATATGTAATCCTCAAACACTTAATGCACCATTAAGGTATGTGTTAAATGGTTTCATGTCCATGTACATACTTTATAAATATGGATCTACAATCATAAATGCTACTGAGTTCTAATGCAAATAGGAAATTAGATTTCCAGAAAACATCCAACTAGACCACATTGTCCAAAGATGAGACACATATTATTCTTGGAAAAGAGGGTACAGATCTTACAGGCAACGCAGAGATGCTGGATACTGTGTTTGATGGAAAACGCCTGTACTTGTGCCTTGGAGAATAAAACTTATAGTCTTGAGGAGAGATAGAAACCTCATTCCGACCTGTCAGTCGTTTAAACCTTCAGCAATAGAAACCTAGTCAGAGAGAGGAACGCATATTGAAAAAATGTCTCCCAAACTCAAAGTCCAAATGTTGTCACTTGTCGGGAGTTAAGAATGGCATAAAACAAACTATAATGCATGGGAAAGAAATCAGTATTTCTCCAAATAGGCAAAACTAACTTATCCCTGAGGACTAAGGAGAAAATAAAGCAACACGCAATGGTATAACAGCCAAAAAGTCAACAGCTTCGCTCATATAATCAAGTAACAATAACAACATATGCAAAACTGCAGCAAAGCAAAAGTTATAGCCTCTAATGGCAAGGAAAAGCAAACATGGTGCATGAAACGCACCATACATAAAGATAATTCAGTATCCAGGTGATAAAAATAACGATTCTGCAGCAAACCTAAAAGGTAAAATCCTTGATGGAAAAGGAAGGGAAAAAAGTGGTGCACAAAAATGAAACCCAATATAAAGATACTTAGTACATAGCCAGGTGCCAACAGAACAAGAAAACAACATGATTACTTTCCTCATGCAATGAAGAATATAACAACAACAAAGCAGAACTGCAGCAAAGCTAAGATAAAAAGCCTATGATAGGAAAGGAAGGGGAAATTTTGGTGCAATAAAAGAGCCAACAGTACAGGCAAACAACATGGTTACATCCCTCATGCAATTGAGAAAATAACAATAACATAGCAGAACTTCAGCAAAGCACAAAATAAAGGCCTATCATGGGAAACAAAGGGGGAAAAAATGGTGAATTAGAAAGAAACTATAGATAAAGATAACATGGTAGCCAAGGAATAAGTAAACAAGATGAGACATAACACCTAGAAGATCAAGATATTCAACCAAAAGCTAGCGGGCCCAGTTCAACATAAATAGTTTCTTAGCCTAATGCCAAAGTAGTGCAGAACAGAGGGGCTCCCATTCGTATTAAGATAAATTGCTCCATACACCCAAGTGACTCATGTCATGAGAAATCCAGCAAAACTTTTGAATTTTGATTACAGGGAAAGCAATCTTGAGTTCTTGACAAGACTAATGAGAGATTGAGAAACAGTTACACACAAGGCACTGATAAACTAGTCAGGAAAAAAAAAGAAGAGCCATGCTGCCAAAAAATGAGGAAAGGACATCACAAGCAAAGAAAATCAAATTCCAAAGGAAGAACTTACCACTCAGCATCTTCAATAGGCACATTATTTGGTCTCTCAACAATATCCAAACCATTGACTACCACAAAACGAACTCGCTTCTCTTCTTGTATAACTAATTCTGGAAACCTTGTCCGTGTTTCCAGAGAAGTTGCAAGTTCCCTTCTTTTATATATACAAGAACCTATAATCAATTAAAGGGGCCAAATTACATTTTCAAGAAAATGTAATTAGACATTATCCTCATAGTGTTAAAGAAAATAGAACACTACCTTTTTTAGGAAATTTTTTAGCCAACCTTCTGTACAAACCACCAGCAGCTTCAAGGGCTACCCCAACGGTCTTATCGCGAATTCCATTCAAGGAAGCAATCCTTATGTTTACTTCATTAACTAAAGTTTCATAGAGATTGGCAACATACATTAAGGGCAAAGCAAACCTAGGATCGCCCTCGTATTGTATATCTCTTGTCTTTCTCTTATTGAGTTTGTCTTGTCCTGACTGCGTATTATAGTCAGCAGATGACTCATTATCAACCACCTCAATCACATGGTCATTAACAAAATGATCCACTATGATTTGCAGAAATCTGGCTCTTGCTGATTCAATAGGCGAAACATCTGTGGTTTAAAAATACTGAATTTTAGAATAAAAAAAAAAAAAAAAGAGGCCACTCCCATTCACAAAATTTCCTAATCAATTTCAAAGGCCCTGTTTGCCTTTTTACTTTTACTACTTGCTATTTGCTCCAAATGCCAAAACTAAATTTGGATTAAAAATAAAAAACCAATAATACTTTTTAAAGAATTAAAATTCCAAAAACGTAATTTCAAAAAGTAAATAAATAAATAAAACGCATGATTTTACATTTATTACAACAATTATGTTAGAATTGGTTTTGCATTTTAGTCATTAGCTTTTAGGTATAGCAGCTTGTGAGGAAGCAATAAACAAATAACTGAAAATCGCAACAAAATCAACAATTAAATGAAGTCCATCCCTTGTCGGAAAACTATAAAAAGCCTAAACAATTAAACTAATCTTTTTTCATTCTTTCTTTACCTTCAATTGTCAAAATACTGAAAGCTCCTCTGGAAGAGTCGCTATTGTCTAAGCTAGATCGATCTTCTTCCTCCGTTCCAACGCCGTGAATTGGTAAAGAATTTCTATAAGATTCATGCATACACTCCTGGAACAAACAAAAATATAAAAAAATTTTAAAAAAAAAAACAGAAACCCAAAAGAAAAGAAGTAGCAATGATAGTGTACAGACAACAGCAGCGGAATCGTGGTGGTCGTGATCATGGTGATCCAAGGCATCAGCAGCATCAACGGCGTCGATGTCAGAAGGGCGAGAATCAACGGTGTTGAGATCATGAAGCGAGGTAGCGATGAAGGCATTATTGTAGTGTTGAACTGGAATCCTACTCCCCATCCTTTAATTCATCAATTTCTTCTTCCGCTGTCTTGGGCTGCGAAGGAGAAAGAGAAAGAGAGAGTGTGTCAGGGGGGAAGCCATAGTATGAAAACTTCGGGGATTTTTCTGGTTGGAGTGTGCGGGAGGGGAGGGAAGACCAACATTTTGGGTTAACGGCTATTTAACAAAAACAAAACTGAGGAGGAAAACCAAGCCTGAAACCATACCTGAAACCCAAACCTCGCTGCCCCTATCCACACCTCCTTCCAAACCACTAGGGCTTGACTCTTTTTTCCTTTATTACTACTTTGCGCATTTGGCTCTCGGCGCCGTCGTTTTGCGCTCCATGACAAGGCTTTTTTTAGGCCAAGGATGTGAATAACCCTTTTTCCTTTTAACGAAACATAAAAGTACGTTTCGTTTTCGGATGTTTCAAAAAAAAAAAAACCGTTTCTTTTTCTTTGTTTTTCCAAAGACAAATTCCCATAATGGTAAATCTTATTTAATTAACTAGAGGATTTCCCATATTGAACCAAACAAAATATTCTGATACAAAAAAAAAAAAAACCCATAAAATGTGGAATTTTACTCTATTTTGAAGCACATTCACACTTATCTGGAACTAAATACAACTTAAAATGTAATTTGGCATAACTATGTAAAGAATACAAATCCAAAAGAATTTCCAAACAATGATATAAATCATCTTGGTGATTTAATTTCGTATGATGTCCTCAATGGCTCAAAGCAGAAGGCCCCTGAAATCATCCCGGTGGAATCAACTACCGAGCAGGCAGCTTTCTCCTCGGGTGTCTCCATTGTGCACATAATGCCGGAGCTTTGAACCAAAGTGATTATAATGAAGGAATATTGTTCATTCATTCCTACAATAAATACATCAGTTAAATTATTTACTTAAAACACACAGAAAGTTGGCATGAATGCATCTTATAGTTATTAATATTTCACAATTTATGGGCTCATTTGAGATTACAACTGTATGCCACAAACTTGAATGGAGATTCAAGAAATGTAATCAACAACATGCCTGTAAGGCTGACATTAACATGTCATTAGCATTGACGAATTTTTTGACATTCACCCAAATACATGATTCATCGATAAACATGGAATTGAGAACTGAAAAAACAAAACAATGAACAGTTTTCTGCTCCTTGACATTACCTGATAAAGAGAACAGCATCATCTGCTCTTAGTCTGTCTATCTGCTCTGACAAACAGACTACAAGACTGTATGCTCTCTCAGAATCAACCTCCAGTTTCACCTACACAATGTCGACAAGAACTTAATAAAATGAAACCAATGGTAGCAAGCATGATACAGATCAGCTGAAAAGCAACTCTTACTGCTAATGGAGAAAAAGATGTCTTAAATGATGAAAGAGGCCTTGACGTTCTAAAACAACAAACTCTCATCAAACTACTTACATTTCAACATAAGATAAAAGAAAAATTCATAAAAGTTTCTTCCTGTGACATATATGAAATTATGTAAAATCAGACTGGGAGCTCTACCAGGAGCATGTGTCACGGGACGGTTCTTCAGATCACCCAACCGTGCGACCTTGGATTCGACCCTTATCCCGATATCGGAATCCAAGTCAGCCTAAGTTATGCCTATCAGCTGATTTTCAAGGTCACAAGGACCAAGAAACAACACAATATGCAGATGCAATGCAAATAAACCCACCTTGGTACTCAGCACTCGCCCAGCAAGCACTCAACACACCCACACGCAGCACACTGCTTTCCGGTCAGCTGGCACACGCACACGCACACAGTTTCCAAACAGTATGCACGCGCAAATCAGTAGGCCTCAAGCCAACAAGCACACTTGTAGAAGAGTGAAGTAGAGAGAAGAGAAGAGAGTGCTGGAGAGTTTTTGAGAGTGAAAAATCTGAATATGTATTAAGTGTTCTACTTTACACAATTTACAAGGGCTATTTATAGCTAATTTTCCCTCCAAAAAAGTGACAAGACATTTTTTGGAGGGAAGTCAAAATTCCAGCAGCTCAGGCCATTAAAAGAGTTGGTGTAGTAGGCCGGTGTCATCTTTTGGGCCTACTGGTGGGTTTGGACCGCGCGCAGGCAGTCTGTTTGGGTGCTGTGCGGGCCTGCATACCGCGCGCCCCAGCTGTGCAGGCTTGCATACCACGCACCCCTGCTATGCGGGCTAGCTAGCCCCGGGCCTGCGTACCACGCGCCCATGCTGTGCTGGCCTGCGTGCCGCGCACCCTGCTGTGCGAGCTGGCACGCCTGGGCTACCCGCACGCAGTCTGCCTGGCTCTGTGCGGGCCGGCTCGCCCAGGGGCCTGTGCTGTGCGCCCCTGCTGAACACCCTGCACCTGACTTCTGTTATCCGGTGGAGGTTCTCTCCCAGCAATACTCCCCCATATACAGACACACCGGAACACCCTCGGGCCACCTCCAATGCGCTGAACTGCGATCCGCAACACATGCACATTGTAAACAAGGTTTGTTGAGTGTCATATATATAAAAGCGCGGATGTTAAAAATTTTTTGACTGATGAAAATAGTTATATTTGTTCATTATATTTCCAAATTACCATTTGAAATTTTTTTTATCATAAATATTAATAAAGTTGATCTAATTTGCAAATAGGATTTTAATTGCATCAAAGGATTTTCATTGAAAAATGTTTTTCTTAATTCCAATACTATTGAATAATTTATATATTAATATTACAAAATTTCAATTCTATATAATTGAAACATTAAATTTTTATATATAATTTTTTTTAATTATAATTATCTTTTATTTATAGACAATAAACTTTACACGTCAGAAACATTTGTATTTTATATATAATTGTTTATTTAAAAATAGAGAAAGATATAAGCATTCAAGTGCAAAACATAGGACAATATATACTAGTTATTAATACAAACCGAGAAGTATTGACAAAAAATTTAAAAGAACATTGTGTACGCTCTCATTCAAGAGGGAAAGATAAGGTTTTTGTCAGAGTAAAGATGCCAATCACCTGAAGAAGCATTATCGTCAATGGACTGCAGAACCCATCTGATTCACATGTCAGCCTTCAGGCTTGACATCTATTAAGACAAAAGAAACACTATTAACATCACCCTTCTAGCTTGGAACCCAACAAGCATTAGAAAACTCCATTAACATTCATCACTTTGTGGGTTTTTTTTCTTTCTCATTTAGTCTGGGGAACGGGGTTGGTTTGGTCATGTTCTAAGATCATATATAGAATAACATACGGGAACATAATTTAGAGACAGTACGAAAGGATTTTGGGACAATCTCATCGAGAATGTTTTATGATAATCAGCTAAGTGAACACAGAGAAAGTCTCTTAGGCTGCCAAGAAATCAATAGTTAGTATTCAGATCTCGTGAGTGCACAAAGAGTTAATCAACAGAAACAGTCTACAGATGCATGCTCATGAAGGAAAAAAAAAAAAGAAAATGCCCATAACTAGATGGCAGTTATTGGTGCAAAACAACTATTGGAGCCTGGAGGTAACAGCCATGAGTATGCAGCTCAAAAATCCATATCACATGGAAAGGATCAGGGATTAGAAGGAGAGACAAATACAGACGGACATAATGACAATACTTTTAACTTACTCATCTAAATTGTCAAGCAGCCACAATTTGATTGTTGCTGTTTTCAAATCTTTTCAGGAAATGTTTAGTTGCTTTTACATATTAGAACCATGATCTCAACCTTTTAAACCTTCCAAGTAAGGAAGAATCCTGTCACTCTCAATATTTCGTGATAATATAAGAAATAAAAGCAAATATAGGAGATTATGGGAAACAAATATGGTTGGTCATCCTTCTTTCTAGACAGTCTTAATACTGTAATTTCATCTAATAAAAAACTAAGCAGTGATAAGATCCACATTTCCCACTGTTTCTATTTATAGGAGAATAAATCGAACAAGCCAAAAAGTTCAGTTTTCACTATCACTCACCAGTATAGAAGACTTGATCTGGCAAGCATGATGCACCAAAAGTTCAATTTACTCCAAAATGAGACCTGTTCTGGTGGCAGATTTTGCATCACTAAAATAATGACCTTTCGAAGCATCCTTTATCAATGAACCTGCTCATATATGTTTGCATCCTCACTACAAGGTATACCTCAGGCTCTTATCCTTTATCATGGCAGATCTCTGCCCTCTGATTCAGATTTTCCACACAGCTTGACTAAATTGTGGATGACTAAACAATTAGACCTCATGGCTGTACACTTGGAACTGCATAATGGATGGGCCTAGTGATTAAACCCCTCTTAGCCATTTCATTTTGCAATTCAATGGCTTCATCAACATGTCCTAGCTCATAGCACTTCCTTAATACACCAATGCAAAGAATCTCATCAGGAAGGATATGCTTCCTGATCATCTCATCCAGAAATTTTCTTGCTTGCTGTAACTGACCACATTGGCATAAACCCCAAACAAGGGAAGTGTAACCCGGCAAATCAAGCTCCATGCCCATTTCAATCATTTCATTCCGCAAATTCAAAGCTACTTGAAAATTTCCATGCTTTAAATTCCCATCTATCAAAGCAGTGTAAGCAGTTTTATCTGGAACCAAATTTTTGCTTAGCATATCATCAAACATATTTTTGGCTGCTTGAACGAAATTATTCTTACAAAGGCCATCAATTAATACCGTATAAACTGCGACGTTAGGTTGCAAATTGAACTCTGGCATTCTATTGAAATAATTAATTGCCTCCAGGACCAATCCTGTTTTGCACAAACCATCAACCAATACACAAAAAGTCACAACTGTAACTTCAATGCCCAGGTCCCACATTTCTTCTAGCAGATTCAATGCCTCGGTGGTTTTACCAGCCTTAAAATAAGAATCCATGACTGTAGTGTATATGACAGGGTTTGAACTCAGTCTGGATTCCTTCATTTCACTCATGACAACTTTAGTTTCTTCAATCTTATCCTGATTGCATAGGCCCCAAATGATAGTTCCATACAGCAACAGATCAGGTTTAATGCTTATCTCCTTCATTTCTTTCAATAGATTCAAGGCATGCTCCATCTTTTTAACTTTCATGTAGCCATGAGCAAGGGCAGTATAAATGTGCACATTAGGTGTTAATCCAGCTTTCAGCATTGCCCTAAAAATTTCCTCTGCTTCCTTTGTTTGCCCTGCTTCACAAAGGCCATCAATTATAGTTGTATATGTAACAATGTTCAAGTCAACATTTTCCTGCAACATCTCATTAGCTAGCTTCAATGCTTCGGTTAGACTGCCAGCTTTACAATTTGCATCAATTAAAGAAGTATATGTGAACGCATTAGGTAAAAGACCAACCCGTCTCATATCAACTAAAAATTTAATCCCTTGTTGCATCATCCCTTCCTTGCAAAAAGCATCAATTAATGTGCTATAAGTTACAACATTTGGTTTCAACCCCTTATTCCTCATTTCACGAAAAAACTCAAAAGCCTGAAGCATCCTCTGAAATTTGCAAAAACAGTTTATTAAGGCATTGTATGTAATTATATCAGGCGCACACTCTACACTCTTCATCTCTTCAAATAAGAAAATCATTTCATCCAATAATCCAACCTTTCCATATCCATCAATAAGGGAGTTATATGTGACAATATCCGGAGTTAAGCCAGTCTGTTTCATTTGTCCAAATAACATTCTTGCAGTATCCAATTCCCCTTCTTTACACATATAATCTATCAGTATATTGTATGTGAATACTGATGGAGCAACCCCAGCCCCAATCATTTCCTCAAAAAACCTCCTAGATTGATCCCTCCTCCCTGCCTTAGAAAGCCTATGCAAAAGAGCATTACAAGAACGAACTTTAGGCAAAACCCTGTACCTCTTCATTTTTGAAAAACATTGGCTAGCCTCCTCAAGCATTCCCAAATCAACCAAAACACTAAACAAAGCATCAAACACCCCAAATCCATATCGGCAAACATTCCTTGTAGACCACAAAACATCAAAAAAATCACAACCCGGCAAGACTACCCTCTGTCTCAACAAAATGAATTCCTTAAGGATAGCACTAGCATCAGAATACATTCTACCATAAAACAAAATGTGAACTAATATACAATAAGATTCACTTGTATGGCCGAACCCTTTATGGGTTTTCGCCCATCTGAAGAATTTCAATGCCAATTTAGGCTCCTGCTTTAAACCAACCAAAATCTTAGAAACCCAAATGGGTGACAAGCTTGAATCAAACAAAGTTGCAATCTTTGGGTCATTCCACTGGTCTTGTTGAATGATTTTACGCATGGATTCCCTATTAAAATCATCTAGGAAAATATGGGTATTACTATTACATTTTGTCCCAAATGGGAACTTTATCATGTAGAAAAAATTAGTGAATAAAACAAAAGGGCAAACAATAATAGAGTTATTTGAAGGTGGGAAAAAGTTGAGCGGTCGAGAGTTTTGAAAGAGAGGAAAAGGGTGGCTTACTCGGAAACAGACAGGGATTCTGCGGTTGATGTGGAAGAGACTGCGAAGAGATAAAAGCATTTTTGTGAAGAAACTTAAAGCCGCTGAGATTAGCTTCATTTTCGAAGCTGAGATCGCATTCTTGAACAAATTTGTACAAGGTTGAGGTAAGAAGTGCGGTTTTCTTGGTTTTGTCTAACGTTAGGGTTTAACACTGTACAGAAGGGGTAGGTCTATGGATGATTGACCGTAGGCTGTTGCTGATGAGATTTTGGGCCTCAGTGTCTCGGCCCGCTCCAACAAACAAATCACAGCTTCCCTCCTCTAGGTCCATGTGGCAAAATTTGAGAGTCTTGTTAGAAATTTTATTCAAGCTTCACAATCCCTCTTAAAACCTTCGTGTGACCAAATTTGAAAACTCTGTTGGGGATTTCTTTTATATATAGTATAGATATTAAGTTATGGTAAATTTACTTGCATAATTAATTATGCAGCCACTTTAATGATTTGCTTAATTAAAGATATATGTTACTTGATGATGTAAAAGATTAAGTTAACAGTATAATCTAATCTTATATGGTTTTATATAGATATCCATGTGTTGGTTTGATTTGATTTCAATAAGGATAATTAAATCGAACCATGAAATTGCTTTTGAGAGGTTAAGAATTCCACCATCAGGAACACATACTTTTGTACCTTAGACATGTTTCTTTTCGTTAAAATGATGTTTTGACATACATAATCCTACGAAGGGAGCCTGAAAATTGAAGGACTGGAGAAGCCCTTATGCCAATCAAATTCAAAAGCCATGGGAATCTCACCATTTGCCGATTGCCACGTGGGATGAGATGGTTTTGGCATATAAAGTGCAAAGTAGCTATTCCACTTGCCTTTCTCTCTATGAAAAGGATCGTTTTTGTCTTTGCTGGTTCAAGATTCTAACATAAAAGGATAACGAGTCTGGGCCACATCAAAGGTTGCATCAGGTACCAGGCAAGCAAGTTTAGGTACTAACCGGTCACTTGCAGCATTCGGCTTGACACTGCCA